ATCCCACACAGACAGATATATATATATATATATATATATATATATATATATATATATATATATATATATATATGTCCTGTCTTGATTGCTCCAACTGACTCTTGGCTCCTTTCTCTCCCTTCATCTCTAGATTTCCCTAACAAGAAAGCAGAAAATCCTGACTCCATTCTCTTCAACCCCTCTACATTCAGCCATCAGTGCCCATCCTCCACACATACCAACAACCACCCGAAAGTGCAAATTCGAAGGATCCCAGATGTTTTCTAGCTGACCCTGCCCTCTCCTGCTGTCCAGCCCAGCTGCTGTTTCTCTCCTCTCCTCCTCCTGTCCAGGCCCACAGTTCTAGCTGATCCTGGATGTGGCCAGTGTATGCTCCTGTATGTATCGGGCTAACTTTACACTTCCTGGGATCACTCCTGTGGTTAAGCTGTGTTTGGGCATGTAAGGTCTAAGAGGGAGAGGCGTTGCACTCAAGGGCAGCCCCTGGAATGAAAAAAGACCAGAGAGAAAGAAAGGAGACTCAAGGGAATTGGAAGATATCAGTCTACCAGACTAGTAGACTCTGCTAGGCTCTGCCTTCTTTGACATCTACCTTACCATATTTCCTCCTCCTCCTCCTCCTCCTCCTCCTCCTCCCCCTCCTCCTCCTCCTTTGTTTTGGCAGTTGTGGGGCTTGAGCTCAGAGCCTGGGCACTGTACTTGAGTTCTTTTGCTCAAGACTAGCATTCTACCACCTGAGCCACAGCACCACTTCTGGTTTTCTGTTGGTTAACTGGAAATAAGTCTCACTGACTTTTCTGCCCAGGCTGGCTTTGAACCACGATCCTCAGTTCTCAGCCTTCTGAGTAGCTAGGATTACAGATGTGAGCCATCAGCTCCAGGCCCATCATTTCTTTTCCTCAAGTGGCCCAGGGACTACTTGTGCAGTTTGCCCTTGCCTTGTGAGGATTTACCCTTTGGGACCTTGATAGACCTCAATGGACAGACTCTGGTCCTCTTCTTTCAGTACCCTCAAAAGGGTCAGAGGCAGCTTTGAGCCTTGGGAGGGCCCAGAGAAGGTATGTCTAAGAGCATTCCCCCCACTGTGTCACTGCCTCCTTATCTTCCACTGATGGATAGACAGATGCTTGGAGCCTCTAAGGCTTGCCTGACCTTCAACGCTGCTATAAACAGCAAGACCTGTCAGCACTGATAGGCACTGCCCAAGAACAGCCCCACAACGTGCTCCAGTAGCCTCAAAATTCCAGGAATTGCCAGCACAGCTACTCCCACCCCCACTCCACCCCCACTCACACCCTGAATAGTCCCTGCCTACCCGGTTCCTCTCCCCAGGGACCCTCTGTTCTCAGCGTCCCCATTAGCTAGGAGAGAGTTTGGTAAATACAGAAACTGAAACCACCAGGGAGTTTAGAGGCCTCTGGGCTGGTGGCCCAAGATCTGTCAGGTGGGGCCTGAGACCTTGCAGGCTAGGCCCCCGCCTGGGCCTGGCTCAGTCCCACTCCCCATTGCTCTGTTAACCTCCAGCCAGCCAGTTGAGGCATCTTTCCACACCTGCACTCTCATACCTGGAGAGGGCATCGTCTCCCTCCTATAGGTAAGGCACTGAGACTGGGCAGAATAGCAGAGTTGAATGAAGGCATGTCCCTCTTCCTATGGTAGAGATGTTACAGTAACAAAGATGAACCTTATGCCTGGCACCAATCTCTGGCCAGTGGCTCAGAAAAAATGGGGGCAAGGCCCATAGAGCTGCTCCCTGGGTGGGGGAAAGGAGCCTGTTCTCACTCTTCCTTGCTTCCGGGAGCAGAGGGGGCAGGGTGAGAGGGCAGCTCAGGTTGCAGGTCCTTTGCACCTGTCCAGGATAAATAAAGGCATTTCCCTGAACTGTCTGGGTCTCCCTTCTGAATCACTTCTCTGCAGTTTCTGAGGATCAGCTCAGCTGAAGGGAGACCCCCAGGGGCTGCCCCAGGTTGACGCTTGGGGCCAGTATAACTCAGGTACAGGCTGCCACTCTGCCATCAGGTGGCAGTCCCTGGTCAGAGAGAAGAAGAGGCAGATCACAGGAATTTCCACTCATGGCCCCCTCTGCCCCATGTATAAATGCAAGCAAGTCTCAAGTTGGGCACCTGTGATTCACATCTGTAATTCTAGCTACTCAAGAGGCTGAGATATGAGGATTATATCAGCCTGGAGAGAAAAGTCTATGAGACTCTCCAGTTAACCAGCCAAAAAAAAAAAAAAGTCAAAGTACAGCAATGGCTCAAGTGATAGAGCAAAAAAGCTAAGCAAGGGCTGGGAATGTGGCTTAGTGGTAGAGTGCTTGCTTATCAGGCATGAATCACTGGGTTCAATTCCTCAGTACCACATAAACAGAAAAAGCCGGAAGTGGCACTGTGGCTCAAGTAGCAGAGTGCTAGCCTTGAGCAAAAGAAGCTTAGGACAGTGCCCCAGGCCCTAAGTTCAAGCCCCAGGACTGGCAAAAATAAAATAAATAAATAAATAAATAGGGCTGGGAATGTGGCTTAATGGTAGAGTGCTTGTCTAGCATGCATGAAGCCCTGGATTAGATTCTTCAGTACCACACAAACAGAAAAGCCAGAAGTGGTGCTGTGGCTCAAGTGGTAGAAGCTCAGGGACAGTTCCCAGCTGAGTTCAAGCCCAGGTCTAGGGGGGAAAAAAAAAAAAGCTAAGCCAAAGTGGGAGGCCAGAAATTTCAAGCCCTAGCACTAGTAGAAAATAACTAAATAAATAGATAGATAAATAAATAAGTGTAACCTGCAGTTCTGCCTGGCTGTGAGGTGAGACGGTGACCCCTCCCCCTCAGTGGTCAGGCAGTGAATGTGCCCCAGTACTGTGGGTACCTGCTGAAGATATAAGCAGGCTCTGCCTAGCTAATTCCCACATGCCCCACTGCCCACTGCCTGTGGTGTCTCCACAGCAAAGGCTTAAGCTAGGACTCCAAGTGATGCCTACTGACCATTAGGAGACGTGGGTTGTATCTGAAGTAGAATAGGTCTCTTCCAGAAAATTCTGGTCCTACATCCCTTTGAGGGTTTGTTCTTGGTAATAGAGGTCCTTGTGAGCCTCAGCCAGAAATATCACAGCCCTGGTGCCCATGAGATCTGCTTGGCCATAAGCACGGAGCCCGTGAGATCTGTCACCTGCCAGAGGCATTTCTCAAGGGACCTCCAGTGTTGAGGAGGGCTCCGGCGTCTAGTCCTCCCTCTCCAGGTGATTCAAGGCTTGTCTCAGAAGGAAGCTAAAAGCTCACCATGCCCATCCTCCATCCAGTGCTCTATCTGGATTCTTTTTTTTTTTTTTAATCCCCGCTTGTCAGTGGCTCCAGTACATCCCAACATACCCCCTCCCCAAGTGAGTACATTCCTCCTGCTGTCTAGCTTATTCTGTACTGCCATTTAAGCCCCTGGCCATCCAGGGCCAGGTGCTGCATAGGTCCTGGGTGAGGTCATTGGCTATCCTGGGTGTCACTGAGCCTGAAGACGAGTTAGTGTCTACAGGATGGGGCAGAGAATACCAGCAGCAAGTCTCAAGAATGGTGGGGCTGGGGGAGGTAGGGGTTCAGCTCTAGATATAGGATGCTAGAAGGGTTATGACAGCAGTTCTGCCTTGTACAAAGAGATGGAGTTGGGGTAGCCACTGGGCTTAAATACTCATAGGCATTTGTTACCACATTATGAAGCTGTCATCATACCACCAATATGATCCTTTCAGTATGGGACCCTATAGTCTTCGGGGTAGGAGATCTGAAAGGTGGAGCCTTCACACCTCCAGCTGATGAGTGAAGGCCAAGGACTACTCCTAGTGCCCAAGCCAGGTTCAACAACCAAGTGAGACCCTCTGCCCTCTGCCTACCACCATTTGGACTACTCACCAAGTGCTATTCCTAGGCCCAAGACAAGTTTCTATTGCCCTGGAGAAGAAATTGTCCTTTCTTCTTAGGGAGAAAGCCACCCAGGAGATTCTCCTGTCTAACCATGATCCTCTAGTGACAGCCTGAGGCTTCACCCTGCCCCCAGGCCCAGGGAAATACCAGCAGGTTTTCAGCCACCCAACCCATGTTGTCTTTGCCCCTTGAAAGCCTCACAGTCTCTCTGAGACATGCGGTTTCCAGCTCCAGCTCTGCCAGGACTGCTGGACAGTACCTTTCTATGACAGACCTTGACTGTACCTGCTGTGTTCTAGTTGTGACCTATATGCTGAGAATGTACGGTAGTTAAGATAAAGTCCTTCCTTTCTGCTTCTCAAGCATGTCTACCTCTTGGCTTCCCTGGGCTTTGGGGTCTCCAGCCTGGCAATAGAGGACCTCATTTTCTCAGGTAAGCATGGAGAGAAAAGACATGACACTGTCAGGCAGGACAGGCAGGCCCCTGCTTCAGGTAAGGAGGGAGGTCCAGCTCTGTGAGCCAGACAGTAAGGGAGCTCCTGGAAGACCCGGGTGGCAGGAGGAGGAGAAACTCATAACCCAGGCTTGGTATTTTGGATCTAGGATAGAACAAGTACTAGAACCCAGTAACCAGTTCAACCCCAATCCACATCATGATAGCAGGGGCAGCAATCTGTCCACCCATGCATCTGTTTACTTGTCACCCATCCTCCCCTTCTTAGGAGCATTCTTTTCCCAAAACCTCTGCTTGCTTCCAGGCTTGGAGGCAACCTGAGCCCACCTTGCCAGAAAGAAAGCGCTGTGCTTTCTTCCACCCTGCAAACTCAGCATTTCCTGCTCTGCTCAAAACACCTGCCATTTGCCCATCACGTCTCACTCAGGTGGGCAAACTCCAGGGGGTACAAGCTTGAGTGGGCCAGCCCTGGCTGTGGCCAAGACCAGAAAACCAGTTCAGTCCTCAGATGGGATGGATCATGCTCTGGTTTTTCCCTGGTAAGGACAGATAGACAGACAGACATGGGACACAGACATACACATGCCCTCTTCCAAGAGTTCCCTGCCCCTTCGGGAGCTGGGCTGTATGGCAGGGCACACTCACCCGGGAGATAGTAAGGGGCATATTGAAATCCTTGCCCCCTTGCAGACGGAAGCCCCAGGGCCCAGGCCCGGTCAGCGTCACACTGTAAGACATGCTGGTGTTGACAGAGGTCACCTGTGTGGAGAAAGGGAAAAGTCAGGTGAGAGAGCCCGAGCGCACCCCGCCTCCCCAGCCCGCGCCTCAGCTCCCGACCCCCGACCCTGGACTCCCAGTCTTGCCTGCTGTGTCCCTTACTGCCTGGCCTAGCTGTGTGGAGCTCCTGGGAGGCTCCTAAGAATAGCTGGGAGTGAATGCCATCGACACTGATATCTGCCTTGCTGAGCCCATAAATGGACTGTAACCCTACACTAGGCCCGCCCGCCTGCGGCCTCCCAGCCGTCCACCATGACTCACCAAGCTAATATAGCCCCTGGGGAGGGGCACCCAGAAACACCCCCCCCCTTGGGGGCAGGAAGGGAGCACTTGCCTGCCTTCTGCCCTCTACAGAACCCATACACCCTTGCTCTGCTTCAGCAGACCCACCTCCAGCCCAGGAGGCTGTAGATTGGGCTCCCTTAGGCAGGGATTTTGTCTCTCAGGGACCCTGAGATGATGCCTTACCGAGTGTGAGGCCCTGGGGGTGCCTAGGGCTGAGTTCAGCTCTCAGCAAGTCTGGGAAAAGATTTAACTCAGAAGGCCAGCGATTGGCTTTGGGCTTGTCCAGTCATAAAAATGATCATATAATAGCATAATAACTGGGCATCGTCAAGTTCAGAATGGTGCCCTTCATGCCACTGTCCCTGGGGTCCCAAGAACTGCTACCTTGGAAGACGAGAGTTCAGAGAGGTTAAATAACTTCCCCAAGGTCACACAGAGAATGGACGAGGGCCTACTGGATGGAACCTGGGCTTGTTCCAATAGGATTCATGACAGACAATGGGCTGTCAGTGGCTGCAGGCATCTCCTAAAGCCCTGCCTGGGGGTGGGGGTGGGGTGCACCGGGACTTCTGCCTGCCCACCTTGGCACAGGGTCTGACAGCAGTTTTAAGGCAGGCCCATCCCTCTAGACCCTCTGGGGCCCAGTTGGTTATTCCTGGCTCTCCTGTCTCATTTGTGCCCTGGAAAACTTGACAGTAGCATGGAAATCTCCAGCTGCCAGCACTGCACGCCAGGCCCCGTGCCCTTTGCGCAGGAATGGCAGGGGGCAGGGAGGAGGGAAGAAGTGCCATTTGCTCAGCTGTTGGGACACAATGCCAGAGGGGCAGGGAGGAGAAGCATGCATAGCATGTTCCATCCATACCCCAGAGACAGTGTGTTCCACTGGGGACCCTGGCCCCATGAGACTCCTGCCAGTGTGGTCTTTGATCAGAGTGACCCTAGAAACCCTCCTCCAAGAGCGATCTCAGGCTCCATGTGATCTAGAGACAGATTGAAGCCCACTCTATTTTTTTTTGTTTGTTTTTTTTTTGCTGGTTTTGTGGCCTGAACTCTGGGCCTGGGTGCTGTCCCTCAGCTCTTCAGCTCCAGGCTAGCACTCTACCACTTAAGCCACAGCACCACTTCCGGCTTTTTCTGCTTATGTGGTGCTGAGGAATCGAACCCAGGGCCTCATGCATGCAAGGCAAGCGCTCTGCCACTGAGCCACCTTCCCAGCCCCCCATTCTGGTTTTTAGCTGTGGAAACTGAGGCTTGGAAAATAGGATCAGATTGAGTTGGCTACTTGCTCGCTCTCTCAGAGAGCTGGCCTGAAGTTGGGCTGGACCCTGAGGACTAGATGCAGGCCTGGGTGTGAGTAATTTCTAATGTGCCAGGACTCCAGCCTAATACCCAGGGTCTGGCACATGCAAGGTATGTGCTACAAATGTGCATGTTACAAGACTATTTGGTGATTTATCCAAGGTCACAAAAAGAGCAAGTCAAAGAAGCCAGGGAGGGAACAGTGCTCTTCCCTCCCCAACTTCAACAACCCTTCTCCCCTGTACCCAGAACCCCATCTGGCCTGGCCCAGAAAGCCAGCATCCATACCAGTCACTGTCCCTATGGGCCCCACGCCCTCATCCATAAGTCTAGCCTTGTCTTAGTAGGAGTGTCTGTCCTGCCAGGCTGGTACGGTCTCAGAAGCAGGAGATAAACAGTGTGGGAAAGGAAAAGGCTGCAGAAGGACGAGGGAGGGGGGACACCTTTCTTGGGGAACCCAGGCAAGGCTGTACCTGTTGTTGCAGGCTCTTTCTCTGGACTCTGGCTCTTGCCTGCCTGATGTGGCCTCTGGGGGAAGGGAGGAGCAGCAGGGAAGATGCTCTTAAAGGGGAAAGCCAGCCTCCCTCCATCTGCCTCCCCTGGGAGATGTGAAGCCAGAGAGCAGCTGGTACCCATGGGCTGGGCAGGGCTCAGAATATCCTTGAGGAGTATGATGGGCCATGCCTGGTCTTTGTCCCTCCTGTATTTTTCCCAGCTGCCGTTTGAGATGGGTCTTCAGAAGTGACCCAGAGGCTCTCACTGAGAGCAGGGAGCAAGCAAGAAAATGCAAAAAAGCAACAGAAGGCACCACGGCCAGGCTCTGTTCTCTTTCCCATCACAGCATCAACAGGTAGACAGCAAAGTTGTCAGAGGAGAACTTCTTTGCCTTTTATTTTTTCCTTTGCCCTTATGAGAGGCATAATCCAGGAGGAATATAGACCACTCATGCAAAATAAACCACAGGAGCAGAACGTGCATCATGTGTTCTGAGTGCATGTAAATAAATAGGTACCTGGTGCGGGAGGGGAGGTGTCTAGCAGTACAGGCATGCCTGTGAGGGGAAATAAGCCAGAGATGAGTGTGTGTGTTCTGTGCACAGGTAGGACTGTGTTCAGCTGGCCAGTAAAATGCCCAGCCTAGGCACACAGGCTGGCCAAGAAGCTTGGCTCATAAACAGCTGATGTGTTCCCTGGAGCCATTGCTATTGTCATCGCTGTCAATGCCTAGACAATCCCTAGCACACAGCCTTTGAGGACAGGCAACTGCCAGAAAGAGGAGGGCCTGAGGATACACGCTCCAGGCTGGACGTGACTTCTGAGCTGAAGAGTGGGTGTAGACCATGCTGCAGGGAGGGGTTTTAAGGTATGGGAAGGGGAACATGGGGCTGTGGTTGTGAATCCAGAGTAGCATGGGCAATGAGACCACTTGTAGAGCCTGAAGGCTCATGGAATAATCCTGTGGTGCTGGTGGTGCTGGTGGTGGTGATGGTGACAGGAGAGAAGATGAAGCTGGACATGTCCCAGAAGAAAGAGCCAATGAGGAATATCCTATATCGTGGGGTCCAGGCTGGGGAGTTCTCCCTTGGTCTGAAAATAAATAGCATGCATCTGTTTACCCTGAGGAGCATCCCAAAGGGACCACTCCCCCAATGACCCTTCAGGTTTGAGGTCACCAAGAGATGAAGGCATGGTGAGTGGCAGGGCCAGGTTGAGGTCCAATGAGGACAGATCTTGTTGAGTGAGGTTCAGATCTTGGAAAGGGAGCCAGAGACAATATCTATCACTGGTTTAGGGATGACTCCTAGGACATCCTCAACTTCCTAAGCTCCATGTGTAGGTGTGTGGGTATGTGGGTGTCTATATGTGCCAGTAGGGTGACTCGAACTCAGGGACTCTTGCTTTCCCTTGGCTTTGTTGCTCAAGGCTGGTGCTCTACCACTTGAGCCACACTTTCACTTCTGGCTTTTTTTTTACTAGTTATGTGGAGAGAGGTGTCTTGCAGACTTTTGTGCCAGGGCTGACTTTGAACCTGGATCTTCAGATCTTAGCCTCCTGAATAGCTAGAATCACAGGGGTGAGCCCCGAGCACCTGGCACTCCTGGGGTTTGATCTGATGAACTGAGCTCCTCGTATACACTTCCGTGCATCTCTTCTCTGCACTCCTGAACATGTGTGTCTCTTCTCACTCCTCCTGCCCTGAGTCACTACTTGATTATTCCACTCAACTCAATTTACTATTCAAGATACATTGAAGGAGCCTAGCTACTCTGTAAATCTCCTCCCAAGGCTCCCTGTCCTCCAGGGTCAGGTCTAGAAACACCCCCAGGCTTCCAGCACTTTCTCTGCCTCTTCTCTTCTATGCCTCCTCAGCCATCCCCAGGGTCCCACTGGTCACAGAGGGTCCCAGGGTCCCAGAGAGACATCCTATTCCAGGACAAACCAAGTTTCCTCTCTTGTACCCTCTGTATCTACCCAAGATCATGGACAGTACTGTTCAGTGCCCACCAGCATCTTGGAATCCCCCTGTGGCCTTTACCTTCCCTGACAGTCCTGAGGGATGAGCCTCCGTTTCCGGCAGGTTGGGTACTCTTAACTCAATGGCAGCACTTATCAAGAATATCTGCTCTAGCTGAGTGCTGGTGACTTCTGCTGGTACTCCCAGCTACTCAAAAAGCTGAGATCTGAGAATCACAATTTGAAGCCAGCCTAGGCAGGAAAGTCTATAAGACTCTTAGCTCCAATTACTTATCAAAAAAAAAAAGCTGAAAATAGAGCTGTGGCTCCAATAGTAGAGTGCTAGCTTTGTGCAAAAAATAGCTCAAAAAGAAATGTACTCATTATCTGACTTACGTAATTATAACCCCTCTGTACATCTCTTTTATAATAACAATAAAAAAATAGCTCAGGGGTAGTGCCCAGATCCTGAGTTCAAGCCCTAAGAACAGCACAAAATAAAATAAAGAATGTCTGATGACTACTGGTGGCTGGCTCTCCCTGCCCGTGCCCCTTCCCTGCGTCCCTCCTTGGCCTCTCCTCCCTCCAGGACAGGCAGTGTCTTTCACCATTGCCTGGCCAGCCTGGAGGTCACTGTCAGGACTGCTTCCTTCCTTGCTTTAGTGGCTATAGAGTCCCTGGGTTCCAAATTGGGCAGTGGTGCTTCCAGATGGTGAAATTACTGGGGAATGGGGTAGGGGTAGGGAGGGCAGGGAGTGCTTGCCTCTTGTGAACTTATGGGGAGCCAGCAGGAGGAAGAGGAAGACAGGTCCTGAGCTGTGTGTGTGTGGGTAAGAGAAGGGCCGGGTGGGGAGCTGCAAGGGGAGGGGAGGGGCTGCCTGTGCTCACAGCATTTCCAGCCTTCTCTATCACCATCAACATTGCGTTCCATAGGCACTTGGGCTGACAGCTGGTCTTCTTTTAATAGCCACAAGTATTCTGGGTGGCATCCTGGTCTCAGGGTGTTCTCTGTGAGCACTTCATGGCCCTTAACCCACTCTCCCAGGTATGTCCAACGTCAAATCACACAAAGAGGTATGCACTGTCCTCACCCAGTCGCACCCACGGACAGACACAAAGACACACTTGCATGTGGTACAATGACAGCATATGCCAGACACACGGTCACATTCATGTATGACTTATATGCTCTGTTGGCTGCACAGATCACCCACATTCATGGACACACACAATTATTCACATACCTTACTAAGGCATAACCAGGGACACCAACTGCTAGAGGTGTTCATAGAGCCACACAGTCATGCACAACACACCAAGAACAGCCACAGCCTATACTCAGTTGAAGCTGTTGAGGGAAAGCTGGAATGTCTGGGGAAGGGGTGATTCCCAGAGGACATTATGCTGCCTGCTAAACTAAGCCTTGTTCCTGGCCACTCTCTGGGCTACTTCTCCCTATTCCCCTCCCCTTCATAGATTGGCAGGTACTGGATCCAATCGCCTTCTTGGGTGTCTTGGCTTCCTTTCTCTGGGCTCTGGGAAGAACCTTGACTTCCCCATCCTCCAGGTCCTGACTGCAGGGAGACTGTCCAGTCATTTGCTGGGCATCCCCCCATGCAGCTGCTGCCTCTGTGTCTGTCCAGCCCTGGGGGAAGAGGGAGCGTAACTGTGAGGAAAGACTGACCCCCTGCAGCCTGCCCCTCCCCAACCCCCTGACAAGTCCTTCCCCAGCATTACCACAGGTATCTATGGCAGTTTCATGGCGCCATTAACTGTAAAGTTTCAATCACCAAGTCCCTGCAAACCTCACATGCCTGGACCAGAGTGCATGTTAGTGTTATGATTGATATGCACCTTCCTATGAATGTATTATGTATCCTGTGATTCTTTGGCTGTATTTTTTGTCTTTTCTATTTTGGTACTGAGGATCGAATCCATGACATTGCACTTGTTGGCAAGCACTTTGCCATCGAGCTACATCCCAGCCCCTGTGATTCTTTGAGACACCCCTTCTCCCTATGCGAGAGAGCTTAGTGCTGAGGGACCAAGGGGTCTAAGTTGGCTCATGCCTTGTCTCTAGATGCCCATCTAAGGCCAAGAATGCGAATCGATTCCATCTTTGCTCTGGAGATAGTGTTAGCATGGAAAAAGAGATGCCCTGGAGTTGGAAGACCCATGTGTAGAATGATACATTCCTGTGTCACCCCAATTCCTCTGCTAGTCACAAGAGAGTGACACCCATAAGGTTGGGAGGGGCTGACCACCCCTCCCACCCCATCTCAGTGGCAGCCTGGCCAGGACCTAGGACTTCCTAGAGGTCTGGGGCTGCATAGGGAAAGGGTGGTAAGGTATCAGCTGACAAAGGCCTAGAAGTCTTACCATCTTGCTTTCAGAGCCTAAGGACTCCTGGCGTCTCCGTCCAGAGATCCAGCTGAGGTCAGAGGTCTGGCTGGTCAGTGTGGAGCGGTGAGTAGAGCGGAAGCTGAGTGAGGGGTGATCATGCTGGCCTGACACACCCAGTAGCACTCTCAAGCAGGGCAAATGCTGGGCAATGGCCACCCTGGAGGAGTCATGCATCTGGTTAGGATGAAGGGAAAGACAAGCTGATACAGGATGAGTGGACAGATAGATGCTTAGTGATGGGAACAGATAGCCACTAGGAGTCATTGGAGGTAATGAAGATGGACAGACAGATGCTGGATGATGGGGACAGATAGATGCTGAGTCTGACAGGACCCAGGAATAATGGAATGGATAACAGATAGACAGGAGTCTGACAGACTTGCAGGGATGTTAGGACAGATAACAGATCCTGGATTCATGCATGTGGAGAGAGAGAACCTGGAATAGAAGGTTCAACCAGGTGGACATTGCTTCCAGCCCTCATATGGCTGGCCAAAAGGACATCTCTGGCTGATAGGGACCAGGGACTTCCTGTGTCCTTTAGGCTGGACTGACTGAGACCTGCAACCAACTTCAGGAGGGTGATGAGTGATAGATACCACCAAGCTATAGGAAGCACTGGGGGCCTCGAGGGAGAAGTACCTTGTTGGGATTCTTATCAGTAGAGCTGTGCTGGCCACAACCACTCAGGACCCTGCCAGGGCCCCTTAGGCAGAGTCAAAGAACTCCTAGATGGGATCTTTCTGGGATGTCAGTGTCTTTTTTGAGGGTGGGTAGCAGCACTGCTTATCAGTAACCCTGCCTACCTTTAATCACCAACTCTGAAGATCCCAGAGTTAAAGCTAGACATTGCCCAGAAAAAAAAATTCCTGGTATTCCTCCAAATAGAGCCCTCTGCGAAGTTAAGGCCAGAGAAGAATTGTGTCAACTCTGGATCCTACTGGCTGCTCCTAGATGCTTATGGCCCTTGCTCAACTCACCTACGAGAGATCTCACACACACACACACACACACACACACACACACACACATATCTGCAGGCCCAAGCCCTCCACGCCCACATGGAGGGAACCTGGAGACCTGGAGGGTACTGCACCTGTACTTGGGGTGGGTGATGGCATAAACGATGGGGTTGTGGATGGAAGAAGCCTTGGCGATGACGGCTGGCACTGAGTTCATGTAGGGCGTCAGGATGTGTGCATACCTAGGAGGGAGGAGGTTCCTTCACTCATCCCTACCCCACACCCCTCACCTCTCCCCACCACCCCCAGTTAGCTTTTACCCATGAACCTTCTTCCTCTGGGTCAGACCTGTCAAGGCCCAAATCCTAGCCCAGCCCAAACCAACATAAATAATTCAACCCAGCAGTGCTAGGGAGAATTCTGATGGAATGGGAATGGAGCTATGAGATTGTTGGGGACGGGGCTCTGGGAGGAAGATTCACCAGGCTTGAGGTGGGGTTTGCCAGGCCTCATTGTCCATTGGATCCTATGATGCTGGTAGTACCTCCCCCTGTTCCCCATTGGCCCTGGCCCTCTTGTGCAGCAATTCTCACACCATGACATGCCCCCTGCTCCCCTGCATTCTGAGAGAGAGACTTCACAGTAGGTTCTATAGGGATCCAGGCCATTCCTACACAAGTAGATACAGACCCAGACACTTCTAAGATGTCATAGTTCTCACTGTCCCCAAAGTACTTCTGAAGTCTGGCCTTTGGCCACGCTGCTGGAGATATCAAAGTTCCCAGAATAGCTGCAAAGGACTAGAGGACAGCTCTTAGGAATCCATGCGAGGTGACAGCACCCCAGCTATGTATCCATGGCCCAGGCAAGGCGAGGACTGGGACCTGAGGAACAGCTGTGTGTTCCCCAGAGGGGTTGGATCTGAATGTGTACCCTGGAGCTCCAGAAGTAAGCAGGGCCGCTGGGGTGGGGCATGCCACACTGGGAGAAGGCAGGGCTGGGAGGTTAGCTTTATGCCGTCCCATTGGTTGACCTAGGTAGGAGAGGCTGCCTAGGGGTCCCTCCCCTTTCCAATCCCTTCAGTCCCTGCTCACCCAGCAAAGGCCACCAGGGCCACAGTGGAATAGGGGGCCCAGGAAAGTACAAAGAGGAGGATGACCAGCAGTGCGATCTTGGCCATCTTCCACTCGCTCTGCAGCCGCTGCCACTGCTGCCGTTGCCGTGGGGACTCACCACAGCCCTCGCAGGCCCTAAGAAAGGCAAACCCATGTTGTAGCAAATACAGGGCCACAGCTACTGTGCCAGAATGGGCCTGGACTGTCCATCCTTTCCACAAAGTATTCGTTTCACAAAGTCTCAACAGGTTTCCTGTGGTTCTATGTGGATGCCTTCTTTGTCCCGACTTAGAAGATGGTCTCCAAGCATGCACTGGTGGCTCACACCTGAAATCCTAGCTACTAAGGACGCTAAGATCTGAGGATTGTGGTTCAAAGTCAGCCTAGGCAGGAAAGTCCATGGGACTCTTATCTCCAATTAACCATCAGAAAACCAGAAGTGGAGTTGTGGCTCAAAGTAGTAGAGAACTAGCCTTGAGCAAAAGAGCTCAGAGATGGCATCCATGGCCTAAGTTCAAGCCCAAGGACAGACAGACAGACAGACACACACACACACACACACACACACACACAGGCTCAGACACACAAGTTCAAAGACAGCAACCCCAGGCCCTAAGTTCAAACCCCAGAACAGGCACCAAAAATTAAAAAACAAAAAACAAAAAACTTCAAATCACATGTGCCTATTCACTTGTTTTTTCCTGCCTGGAGCTGGGTATGCTCTACTAAGCAAAACAAAGCCTGCTCCTTTAGCCCTTCCTTTGTGCTAGGTACTTACCGACGTGTCTCCCGGATGGCTCTGAAGATGAAGATGTAGCAATAGATGATGACGAGCAGGGGGAGGAAGAACACAAAGCAGAAGAGCAACATGGTGTAGGAGCGCACAGAGGGGGTGAAGGTCATGTAGTCCCAGGAGCAGGATGTGAGCAGCCCCTCGGGCACATAGGCACCTGGAAGCCAAGGGCCAAGTGCTCAGCCTTCATGGTGGCACTGCCTAAAGCTTCTTGTCCACTAGGGGCTTTCTGTGTGAAGCTTGGGGTTCCTATAAACAACCCTAGTCCCCCAACTCTCCCAGCTGCCCACTTTTGAGAAATCCTGTGGCAGGGTGGGGATGTGGAGGAAACTTTCCAACCTGATTCTGGCTGTGACATCAACTGACGAGACAGCAGGCAAAACCAGCTGCTGCTTGTTCTTGATTGGCTAGAGTAGAGGCCCAGTGGTAAACCAGGCCTCCAGGTAGCCCCAGGGCCTTGCTGCCTCCCCTCCTGTTTGTGGAACCTCACATCACAGCCCCCTGTCTAATCTGACTTGCTGCAAACCCTGCAGCAGACATAGCAGTCATTTCACTGTATCTGAGAACTCCCATATTGCAGCACAGGCTGCCCAGATGATTCTCCAGCCCCTGAGGGATCGCTCAGTTTCTCCTACTGCTCGTGCTACCCTCCAGGTGTCCATTTGACGAGGTCCTTGCCAGCCTGCCAACCCAAGTTCACTGATCTCCCCCCGAGGTCATCTCTCTCCCCTTCAACTATATCTGCCAGCATATCTGCCCCTCCCCCAATTCCACCAAACCACTTACTCCAGCCAAAGAATGGTGGAAGACTCCAGGCCAGGGCATAGACCCAGACACCCAGCAGGACAAATGCAGTTCGTCTCTTGGATGTCACCCCGATGGTGGCCAATGGGCGTGTGATCACCAGATAGCGGTCCAGGGCAATGGCCATCAGGGTGATCATGGAGGTGATGCCAAAGAGAGCTCCACAGAAGGCATAGAATTCGCAGCCTGTGGGTACAGCCCCTGCCTTTAGCTCTTGGAGAAGGGAGCCCCTCAGTTACCCAATGAGAGGAAGGGCTAGAAATGGGGAAAGCTAGTCGCTGTCTCTGCCCTCTAGAGAAAATGGTCTGAGCCTTCTCCACCCTGTCTGGCCAAGCTTCTCAAGCCCAGAACCTCCCTTTTCCCTGCTTACTCTTGGGATGGAGTGTGTTGCTCACTCTCTCCGCCCACAAAGGGCAGAGAAGGTGGCTTCCCCTGGGCCACCCTTCTCCATGGGCATCCTTGGGTCAAATCATCCCTCATCCATCCAGCAAAAGGTATCCCCAAGTGTCTACCTGCCTCCCCAAAGAGCCACTGCTTGTGGAGGCTGCTGGCAAAGAAGACAGGGGCCTGGGTGAAGGACATGAGGAAGTCGCTGACTGCAAGGTTGATGATGAACATATTGGCGGGGGTTCTCAGACCTCTGGTCCTGTAAGGGTCAGAAGTGGTAAAGGGATGATTCCCAGCACACACATGCTACACATTCATACATGCACACACGCACACCCACATAAGCACACACACCCCACACCCATATATGCACAAATGCATTCATTTATACACCAGTTAACACATGCATAGCACATGTGTGCAATGCACATGCAACCACATATGCATATGTTCACATTCATGAATACATGTGGGCATATGTGTGTGTATCCACACAACATATGCACGTATTTGCATGTGTGGATACATGCATGTCCCTGTTAGTATACATGTATGTGTTCACCTGCATGTACATGCATGTATGTACGTGCACATTCAGACAGGCTAAGGTTGCTGGGCCACAGACTTAGCCGTCTGTCCAGCAGGTGTTACCTATGCAACAGTTAACCCCAGTGGTTGAAGGGGATGCCTATGGAAGCTCCTTCAGAAAGAGGTAATGAATAATGTCTCTCTACAGTGTGCTGTGCCACCCAGGGGAGACTGGGTTCCTCTTCTCACCTTCTGATTGCGTCTGTATGACTCACATTCTCTCCTTAGACAAATCTCTCCAGACTTCGTCTCTCCAGTGGCTTCCCCAGCAGCTCCTCCCATGTGTCCTGATTGCCCTCCCAGCTCCTACTTCCTCAGGCTCCCCACTTGTCCTCTTTAACAAGTGTCTTTGCCAAGGGAATGGTGACTGTGACCACACAGCTCATCTCCTGTCACAGCCACCCTTGCGTCTACCCGAAGGGAGGCATGTGGTTGCCATTTTCCAGGGGAGATCACGGAAGCCTTTACAAAAGTGACTTCACTCTCAGTCACACAACACAGCAACTAGCACAGTCAGCCAGTTCGCTTACTCAATCATCCCCTGGACTCCAAGGAAGAAATCACAAATCTCTTTCACAAAGAGTGAGCTCAAAGACAATAAATGACTGGCCCAGCCCTTCTGCTAATCTGTGGAGCCAGGGACTGTGAGACCCTCAGTCTGTTCACTTCCCCATCCGCCTGTCTCAGCCATCAGACTTCCAGAGGGGAAGATGAGGAAGGAAGTCTGGGGACTGTTGCTGAGGGCATCAGGTTTCAGCATCTGGGTGTCCAGGCTGCTCCTCAAAGCACAAAAAGGATGCTCCCTGGGGGCAGGTGATGACAGGGGTAAACTAAGAACAAGACAAAATGAGCAGAGATCTGAGGGCCTTAGGGTACCAGCTCCACATACAGGGTGTGCCAGAATCCAACAACCAGCAGGTACCATTTAAACTTCCCTGGACCATTCCCTCCCAGCCTCCACCATTCCCTGAGCTTAAAGATTCAGTTCTAAGCCCAGTGTTGGTGGCTCGTGCCTATAATCCTAGCTACTTAGGAGACTGAGGTCTGAGGATTATAGTTCAAAGCCAGCCTGGGCAGGAAAGTAAGTGAGACCCTTACCTTCAATTAACCACCTAAAAACTGGAAGTGAAACTATGGTTCAAAGTGGTAGAATGCTTAAGCTCAAAAGCTCATGGACAATGTTCAGGCCTTGACAGAGTTCAAGCTTCATGACTGACAAAAATACAATACAATACAATAAGAATCAGATCTAAGCTTGAAGATTGAGTCTTCTGCCCCAAGACTATGGAACACTTGTCCCTGGCCTCACCTAAGTCTCAACTGAGCAGAATGACACAACATCTCCACATTGCATTCAGCCCTGTTTCACACGGCCAGGCCCCCACTCTTGATGCCCTGAGGCTGGTTCGACCAGCCAGATACCTGCAAAAGGTATAGATGACGGTCAGATTTCCCAGCATCCCCGTGAGCCCCACCAGCAGGATCACCGTGCCCAGGGTATAATGAGCGTGATCTGGAACATCAACTGTAGGGAAGGGGACCTGGGCAGCTTGAGTGCCAGCCATCTATAGAAAGACAGAAAAAGAAGGGTTAGAGTGGAAGCTGTGGCTCAAGTGATAGGGCCCTAGTCTTGAGCACAAAAGCTCAGAGGCAGCCCCCAGGCTCTGAGTTCAAGCCATAGGACCAGTACACACACATACATACAGAGAGAGAGAGAGAGAGAGAGAGAGAGAGAGAGAGAGAGAGAGAGAGAGAGAGGAGGGGGAAGAGGAAGAGGAGGAGGAGGAGTAGGAGGAGGAGGAGGAGGAGGAGGAGGAGGAGGGAGAAGGAAGAGGAGAAAACGATTATATTATACCCATCACCTGCAAACATCCCTGAAAATGAAGAGGTAGGGTCCTTGTGGGCAGGTAAGGAAATGACCACAGAGAAGCTAGTGGCCAAACTGAAATAGAAGTACATACTTTCCTAAAATTGAACTCAAGCTCCAGTACAAACAGGTGTTTGGGGCTCTAAGGCTAGGCTCAGATCACTTGACAGGCTGGTGGGACAAACATGTGCCTGAAAAACAGGGAGATGTTTAGGGAACTCTGACAACTCCTAGATACTGACTCCTCCTGCCAACCCATCTGTCTATCTTTCTCTAAAAGTAGGACAATGCTTAGCAAATCTCAGTGGAGAAATTTTATTCCCCATAGTGGAACTGGGTGATGCTGATCTTGAACCTTGGTAAGAGGGAGAGAGAAAAAATGTCCTTTAGAGTCGGGCGCCAGTGGCTCACGCCCGTAATCCTGGCTACTCAGGAGGCTGAGAACTGAGGATTGAGGTTCAAAGCCAGCCCAGGCAGGAAAAGCCATGAAACTCTTTTTTTTTTTTTTTTTTTGGTCATGGGACTTGAACTCTGGGCTTGGGTGCTGTCCCTGAGCTCTTTAGCTGAAGGGGAAGGAAGGGAGGGAGAGAAGGAGGGAGGGAGGGAGGGAATGAGAAAATAAAGAATGCTAGAAAACCATCACTGGTAAGGTTAGCTTAGAGGGATCTGAGGATCCCTTTCACACTAGCCCCTTTCCAAGGAAGTATGGGTATGTTGTGGTTTGATCTCTGTCCTGCCCAGTATCTTACTCTGACCATAACAATTCCAGATGCCCAGGGCCCAGAGTTTGTATTCCTCTCTGGAAGGTTCAACTGGGCATCTAGCCAACTTTTTTAAAGAAGTGGATATAACCAAGGGCAAGCCTGGTTCTTCCAGCCCTTTGTGATCAGGGCCAGCCTTTCTGGTCCACCAGCACTCTTGAAGGGGAGAGGGGGGAGTGGCCGGCAATGGCCTGTATTCTCTTTTTCAGCCAGTATGTAGAAAAGGCTCAGAGGTCCAGCGACTTGCCCAGGTTCCCATAGCAGAGCTGAGGAAGGGGACGAAGAATTGGAGAGGAAAGGCTCTGAGCATGGACCTGCTCTGTGGGCTTACCGTGGTGCTGATGGGTGGAAGCTGGCCGGGGGTGGAGACATTGCTCTGGGTACTGTCCCATCTGCCAGGCGAGGCTGGGGTGGCAGCAAAGCTGGGCTCCTGGGTTGGATTTGGAGAGATTCTTGGCCTTGACGGAGGGTTCATCGCGAGACAGAGTGGTCTTGCTCAAGTCCACAGAGAAGTCAAGGACTTGGGGAGCTCAGGACTTTGTGCCCAACCTCCTAGCTTTCCTCCATACTCAGTGCTGTGGTCCAGTCCACCTGCTGCCTGCTCTCCCAGTGCAGGCTGAACCTAGAGCTGCTCTTGGAGCTGATGGCTATTCCGTGTTCAGTGAAGTGGGAAGAATGAGTGTTACAGTTAAAACCATCACAGCCACAGAGTCCCCCTGCACCTTTAAACAGAAGGGCTGCACATGCTCAGTGACTCTTTGTCTCTAGGTTCAGACATGGGTCTTTGCTGTCTGCCCCCTAAGGTCTGATGTTGGTGATATAATGATGGGGTATGTATGTGCGTGTGCACTGCTAGGCTTGGCACCTGGGTATTGCACTGAGCCCTCTCTGTTCTTTTTTCCCTGGGTTCATCAAGAACAGTTTCTGTTGGATGTGGTGGTACACTCCCATAATCCCCAACTCCTCAGAAAGCAGAGGCCAGAGGATCGGCAATTCAAGGTCAGCCCAAACAGAGTTAGAAAGATCCTACCTCAAAAACAAAATAATACCTGTCTCATGCCTGTCATCCCACCTATGTGGGATGCATAAATAGAAGGATCAAAGTCCAGGCAAAAATATGAGACACTATCTCAAAAATAACCCAAGAAAAAGGGGAATGGGGATATCAAGTGATAGGGCAGTTGCCCAGCATGTATGAGGCCTTAATTCAAATCGTAGTAATATAAAAATAAAAGAGTTGAGCTGGGTGGTGGTGGCTCATACCTATAATCCTACTTACTCAGGAGACTGAGAGCTGCAGATTGAAGTTCAAAGCCAGCCCTGACAGGGAAGTCTGTGAGACAATTACCGTCCATTAACCAGAAGCCAGAAGTAGAGTTGTAGCTCAAGTTGTAGAGTGCTAGCCTTGAGCAAAAGGGCCCTGAGTTCAGACCCCAGGACCAGCACACAGGTGTACACACATACACGGATTCACACATACACACACACACGTGCACGCGCACACACACACACACACGCACGCGCACACACACACACACACACACACACATACACATACACACAGAGAGCATTCTTCTGCAATCCAGACCAGCCCTCTCCCAACATCACATGTCTGGAGGGGGGCAGAGGGCGCGGTATGGGACTGATCAGGACTCTGCAGAAGACTTTATAGGGTGGTAATACATGATAGAATGCTGATTTGAAGGAATATTGTAGCCACCAGAGATTAGTGAGAGCAGGATGCCTCAGGCTGGAAGGACTACAGGGAGTCTTCATGATTCTAGGGACGCTGGATGCTGGTGGCTCACTCCTATAATCCTAGCCACTCAGGAGGCTGAGATCTGAGGATCACGGTTCAAAGCCAGCACGGGCAGGAAAGTCCATGAAACTCTTATGTCCAATAAACCACCAGAAGTGGTGCTGTGGCTCAAGTGGTAGAGCGTAGCTTGAGCTGAAGAGCTGAGGGACAGCGCCCAGGCCCAGAGTTCAAGCCCCTCGACCGAAAAAACATAAAACATAAAAATAAATGATTCTAGGGGCTAGTGCTGTCCAGCTAGGAGCCTCAGAGGAGGGCACTCTGAAGAGGCCTGGGGTTTCTGGGTCCCTGCTCTCCTCTCTGGTCTATCCTAGCTTTGGCAGGTACCAAACCTACATCAAAGTCTGAGTGGCCTTCAAAGATGGGGTTCCCTGTTTGCTTTTTGTTTTCTTTTGTTACATCTGAACTCAGCCTGGGCACTGTTCCTGAGCTTTTTTGCTCAAAGCTAGCACTCTACCACTTGAGCCACAGCTCTATCTCTGGCTTTTTAGTAATTAATTGAAGATAAAAGTCTCATAGGCTTTCCTGCCCAGTCTGGCTTCGAATGGCAGTCCTCAGCTCTCAGCCTCCTGAGTGGTTAGTGTTACAGCCATGAGCCACCAGCACCTGGGGACCTTCAGGTATCCTTACTCCTTGCACCTTACCCCAGTGCAGGGGCTGGGAGTAGTGGAATGGTAGCCCAAGCTTTGGAAGAAGCACTGGTGCCAGCTCTCCCATACCTGATCTCTGTGGGGTCCCTGGAACTTCTCCAACTACCCCATTTGCTCAGCCTGGCCTGCACATCTGTCGACCCTCACTCATCCACCCACCCCATCCCCATCCACTTCGCCTAGGAGACCAGGGACTAAGTGTCCTCCATGGTACCCAGAGGCCCTGTCCACCACTCTGCACCAAGGCATCCAGGGCATCTTCTCTTCACACTTCCACGGCATGGCTGGAGGTGGGAAAAGCTTTCCAGATCCCTCATCACTGGGGAGTGAGGATTTAGCAGGGACAGAGGCAGAAGGAGGTCTGAAAGGAGCCAGCACAGAGGACAGATACCATCTAATGTTAAGTAGGCCAAGTGTTTGAAGCAGCTCAACAGCAGGGCCTGGACAGACGACACATAACTTGAACTTTTGGGAGAGGGAATCAAGCAGCCATCCTTGGGGGGCACAAGGCCCCCAGAATTCTATAATAAATTCCTAAAAGCCCTTGCAAGGCAAGCTGATAAAGAAAGCCAGGAGGGTAGGAGGGTTCCCCCCCCCCCAGACACACACACACACACACACACACACACACACACACACGCTCCATCTGCATCTATATCCATAGCATCCATTGAGTCAGGTCTCTCTGCCGCTGGCCCAGCACAGACAGCAGCACTGTAATTCTGGTCCCAGGCTATCCTGCCCTCTTCTGTAGATTGGATCTGCTTCCTCATCCTGGGGCTGTAAGATTGAGTTACCTAGAGACTCCTGGGAAACTCCCAGGAGCTGTTGCCAGGGGAATATTAAATGTCTCCTTCACAGGTTTAGTCCTGAAGGGCACCTGGCCAGTCACCCACCTGGGGCCTCCCTTACCTGCAATCTGGTACACCCATCAGAATGGGATCTCCTCCCATGGCCTGGGGCAGTGCGGGGAGGGGCGGGGGAGAGGTTTAGAGACAGAAACAGAACGGTGTGGCTGATCATGCCATTGAATCTGTACCAGCCCTGTGCTGGGCTGGTAGATGCCAAACTTGTTCTGGGCTAAAGATGCCAAACTCCAACCCTAGCCCAAGGTCATCCTGTCCATCAGGCCTAGACACATGACCCAGAGATCCTGTTATGAGTGAGTCACCTGGAGCCTTCACTAGTCAAAAGGGACCAGGAACATCTGTGGTTCCCAGGAGAGACAGAGAGAGAGAGAGAGAGAATATGGTAGAGAGAGAGAGAGAGAATGGCAGAGTTTGCAGTCTATACATCTGTGCTCTGGTCCCACAGAACACCTGTGGCATCTAATGGTGGAGCCATGAGTGCCTGGAGTGTTGGCCCCAGGCACTCAGATGTGTCTCTGATGTTGGTCCTACCCTACTGCATATATTGTCTCAATGAATCCTGTTGAGACATCCCCTGTGAAAGGTGAGCATTCATTAAACCCCTAGCCGTATGCCACAGCCCAGGCTGGCATCAAATGCAGCCTCTGACCCAGGTGAATGTGACATCTAATTGGGAAGAGTGACAGAGTCGTCCCCAGAAAGCAGTCAGTTCTTCACTCCCGCTCCGGGCTTCTGTGGAGGGAGTGAGGTGAGAGAGGGAGAGATGGATGACGTAGGAAATAGAAAATCAAGGGAAAGCAGGAGAAAGGATCAAAGAACAAATTTTAACTTGAAACTTAATTACACACCAAAGAGAGGCATGTGAAAGTAGAAGAATTTTCCACGTATGAGGTCCAATTTCACATACTTTGGGCACACCCAGCTCCCCATTGAAAGTGATCACTTGCTACTGGATTTAAAAAATGCAGTCCATTCCTTAGAGCCTTAGACATTTCATTGTTTGTATTTCCTTGTTTGTGCATAGAGCTTCCTGACATAGGCCAAGAGTTTTCTATACCCAGGGATGGTCTACTTGTTTTGAGTCAGTACTGAGATTTGAACTCACAGCTTTGTGCTTGCTAGGTAGGCATGCTACCATTTGAGCCATTCATCTAGACCTTTTGGGTTTAGTTATTTTTCAGATTAAGGTCTTCTGCTTTTTTGCCTAGGGCTAGATCATAATCCTCCTACATATGCCTGCTTATTTGTTGCGATAGGGGGAGGGGAGTTAAATTTCCCCTGGGCTGGCTTGAACTGAGATACTCCAAGGATCCTTTGGTAACACACTGGAACAACAGGAATAGTCATTTTCCTCCTCAATGTATTTTAGCTGAGCCAGAAGCCAGTGTCTCAAGCCTGTAATCCTAGTTGCTTAGGAGGCTGAAATCTGAGGAGCAAGGTTCAAAGCCAGCCTGGGCAGGAAAGTCCATGAGACTTTTACCTTCAAATAACCATCAAAAGATGGAAGTAGAGCTGGCTTAGATGGTAGAGCACACGCTTTGAGAAAAAAAAATAGCTAAGGGATAGTACCCAGGCCCTGTGTTCAAACCCTAGTACTGGCACAAATATATACATATATATAATCATATATATTATATATAATATACAATAACAATAGATATTATATGGTATATACTACATAACATATAATCAGCTAACATATGTTTTATATATTATAATATAATAACATATTTGTTGACTCTAACCAAATATCCAAGTTATTTTCTACAAAGTAGGCATTTGTCTGAGCAAGAGAAGAAGGAAGAAAGTTACCTTTTTCTTCACTTTTGTGCTGGTACTGGGGCTTGAACTCAGAAACTTGTGCTTTTGCTTGCCTTTTTTACTCAAGGCTGATACTCTCCAACTTGAACCATACTTCCATTTCCAACTTTTTGCTGGTTAATTAGAGATGAGAGTCTTGGATTTATCTGCCTGGGCTGGCTTTGAATCAAGATTCTCAGATCTCAGCCTCCTGAGTTGCTATGATTACCCGCGTGACCCATAGGCACCCAGCTCTCCTCTTCCATTTATGACAGCCCAGAGCTATTTCTGGTGGCTGTAAGAGCAAAAGAATCAGGAGAGGGAAAAAAAGAACAGAATG